ATAAAAATATAATAAAAATGAAAGATAACGTGATTTTATATGACTACACGTTGTCCCAGTTTGTTAATCTAGTCGAGTCAAGTTCTATGATAAAAAAATTCAAACATCAACCTATTGTGTACGCGTTGGTATGTGTCTCTGTGTGTATGTGTGTTCACGCGTGCGTCTATGTTTTTGTATATTCCACGTACATATATTGAATTGAAGTAAAAGTGCGAGAAATTTAAAAGAGTAGGTGACAAAAAAGGGAGTAGGGAGTAGGTAATAGTAAGTAGTAGGGAGTAGGAAAACAAAATTGAGTATAGCTGGGTAACTGTGCGAAGGATAGTTGAATGATGCCAATGGAGGCCGACAATCTCTAACAGGCAGGAAACTGCTGTATGTAACGGTACATTCGGACCCTGACTACTTCGTAGCGATGCAAAGCCTCCTCCTCGCATCGTCGATCGTTTCACGTCGTCGGTAAATATAGGCAAACGTTTCTTCGTCTTTTACCAAAGCCCCCCGCTAACCCCCAACCTCCTCTTACTCTCTACCTACCATCTCACCTTGGAAAGTTTCTTTTCATCGAACTCAGTCAGTCGTTATCCGTTATCGTTATCTTCGCATCATTATTCAATGATTAATCCAAGTTTTTTCTTTTTTTTTTATTCTTTCTTCATACTTTGTAATTTGAGATATAATTATTATAAATAAAAAACCATTATTTTTATATATTTGGACACCGTTTTTGTTTCGAAAATGGTGTATGCAAGTCCATTTTGTTTTTGTTTTTTTTTTCTTTTTTTTTTTTTAAATCAGATAATATCGCATAATTTGATATTAATTTAGCGTAAACTTTTTTTCTTTTTTTTATTTGCGAGTAGATCTAATATTTGATATCTGTAAAATATGCAAGTTACGTTTTTGTCTGGCAATATCTTATGTTAATTTATGTTATGTTTAATGATATATGAATATAACTTTTTCTCATTGAATGTTTGCACTACAATATTATAAAAAATCAATATCTTATATAATAATATTAAATTAATATAATACACTTATATAATAATATTATTATTATTATTTTACATCATTTCTTTTCAATTGAAGCAACGAAATATCTTGACGAATATACTCACTATTTTTCTAATTAAAAATAAAATAAATTCTATTAACCATTGGTCCCATTATTTCTGATTGAAAAAAAAGAAAAAATAAACTATATTTTTTTGTAGATTTCCTTGAAAAAGTTCTTCAGAATTCTTTCACCAAGTATATATAATATTATACAGACTTTTATATAAGCGTATTCAAATGTAATTAATTAAAGATCCATGGACGATAACTAGATCCAGTCTAACTTCATTATTCTTTTCTCCCTTCGTCCATGAAACTTCCTACAAACTGTTTTTTTTTCATATCTAAACGAAACCACAAGATTCTACGAACCATGAACGTCATTTTCGTCCTAACGTTGATGAATCATTGAGTACGTAATAGTTCAGGATGCAAGACAGGATAGTGTTCGGTGGGTGGTGGAGAGGGGGGAGGGGGGTGGAAGGATTGTGCATCTGTATTGTTGCGAATAGAAAACATCTGGAAGATGCACCATAGAGGTACACGCTGATGTAATGTGGGTAATGCATAATGAGGAGACTTTGTACATTCCTCGCACTATCTACTGACTCGTTTTCTCGTCTTTTAAACCGAGAAAGAGAAAGAAGATTTCTCTCTGAGTTCTTCGTGTCTTTTAGCCAGCAAGCTTGCCTTTCCCCTTCTACTTTTTCCATATCGGCCACCATATTCGTTTCCCATATTGGCAAGCACGTGCGTAGTTACCTGTGTAACCGCACGCTCCTGTGAACGCGAAAAATAATATATACACCAAACTCGATAGAAAGATTAAATAAATTTACCTACTCTTTCGATATTTCACTTTTTTTTTTTGGTTTGGTTTGGTTTTTCTTTTTTTCATTTCAATTCTATGAAATTGTTACTTTCTATATAATATATGTGTATATAGATTATGTTTAGCTTTTATATTTATTTCTTTATCTTTATTTAATCGTAAGATTAACAGAATTATATATATAAATATATATTGATTTGTTGTTGTTAGTTAGTTCAAAAAAAAAGAAAAAAGAAAAAAGAAATTAGTTTTAGTTTCAGTTTTGTTTTTAAAGTTTAAATGTATTGAGATAGAATATATAATAGTTGTTTGTTTGAATTATTGTAAAAAGAAAAATTGTATCGGAAGCCCTCCAAACCCGAAAGGGACGAAGTATAAATAAATAAATAAATAAATAAAAAATATAAATATATATAGTTTCGATATTTTACTCTCTCTTTTCCTTTTTTTTATTTTTAATATTTACATGATTGTATAAAATTGTTAATATCTATAAACGTCATATTAATAATTAAATTTTTATCATCTTCCTTGAGTTCACGAGACTTTCATATTTTTCTATATTTTTAATTTTTATATAAATTTATAAGATTGTTATTCATCACTATAAATTTTTTGTTTAATAGCATTGGATTTTGTAATTTTTTAAGATCGTCACGACAATGGAAACGATATGCGAAAAACGTTATAAATAATTTAATCAATAAGTCCCATACTATTCAAAAAATTTTCCATATCGTCGTACGATGTGATGTATCCTACGAATAATGTTTTTACAAAATTTAGAGAATTTTCATTTTAAAATAATGATTAAACCTAAACGTACATTGAATGAACCGTATTCTGATATTTTTCCAATTCGATCGTACACTCAGTTTTTGTCTTCTCTTAATTCGTATACTTTTATTTTTTCATTTAAAATAATTTGTTGCTATTTAATAGATCATCCGATCTGAAAAGAATTCATTGCACGTTACTGTTACTTCTGACAGTTACGATAGAATACTGACAGCAAAAACGAAGCTACTTATATAGACGAATCGAATAGAATAAATTTTAAAGGAAAGAGAGAGAGAGAGGAGAAGAAAAGCAGAAATAGAGAGAGAGAGAGAGAGAGAGAGAGAGAGAGAGAGAGCAAGAGAGGGGAGAAAATGTGAGAGAGTATAAGTATTTATAAGCGGTATAGCGAGAAGCGGGATAAACGTGGATCAACGGTACTTCTTGGAAGAAAATTATACGAACCCAGTGCCGATTATACGATCGACGGTGCCTTGCACAATTAGCAAGGGTCTAGGATACTATTATTATATATATATTCTGAGATTAATTAAATAATCACATCTGATGAAAAGAAGGTAACTTTATTAAACGCAAAAAATAATTAATTAGACATTTATTTTATATTTTTTTTGCAATGATTCTTCATTAAGAAATATTATAAATATTTTTATCATTTATACAAAACAATATTAATGTGATATATTTAATATCCAATAAATAATAAAAAAAAAAGAAATAAATTATTATATATCAAAAATAATATTACTAGTTTAAATTATGTAATAGCATTCTATTACGAATTACAAGAAACGAATGCACGGTGACAAGGCATTTGTGGTGAATTTGACAATTCTACTAAAGGTTTATCGGATCTCATTGCGTACCATGTTTGATAATTTACCCTAACTATATAAAATTCATCGTAAATTGGAACCATCGGTACGGTATCGTTTTGTATCGGCGCTAGTGTTCCAGATACGTAACCTAATGATTCACAGATCTTCGATGCATCCTCGTTAGTGGTTATTGGAGTTGGATAACATAACGAATGCCAGACACCGAAATTTCTTTGAATTACTTCTCCAATACCAGATCTGATGAATAATATTTTAGTTCATTAAAAATTGATAGAAAGTAATAATAATAATTGTATTCACAAATAAAGATTGAACAACTGTTAGGATAACAAAAGTTTGTTACGTATAAATACTTACGTATTTTTCTTAAACGGTCTTATTTTTTTACATATTATTTCATCCTCATTACCAGGACAATCCTGTTGTTCGTCGCATACAAATTCTTGTGGTATGCATATTTCGGTGGCATTCGGTCTGAAAATATATTATTACAATCGTTAAAAAATATTTCTATATATATATATATATATAAAAAAAAAGAAACAAATGTAAAATATATAAATACAAATATAATTATATATAATAATAGAATTAATATTATATTTGAACATTTTAATGTTTCATAGAAATAAATTATTATTTAACAATGTTCATTTACCCAGGACATCTGAAACTGTTATCATTGCAGGGACATATCATCGGTGATTCGTCCGTTTTATCCAAACAATTTCGTCTACCATCGCAAAGACGTTCTGGCGATGTCAATTTCAAAAAACTCGCGCAACTGCAATTTGTCATTTCGTCGCTTCCGTCAATGCAATCGATTTTTCCATCACAAAATTTTTTTTTATGTACGCAATCACCATTTTCACAACGTAACTCTGATACAGTACATTCTGTATAATATATAGAAAATAATAATAATAATAATAATACGTATTGTAATTTGATCGATCAATTTAAAAAATATTATATGATCACGTACTTTCCTTTTGAATCCTTTGACGTAATTCCCTTGATACTAAACAATTTTTAAGTTCCTCATCGGAACCGTCTCGACAATCTTGAATCCCATTGCAAGTTTGGTGCCAAGGAACGCATTGGCCAATTTTACAACGAATACCGTCGCATATAGGTTCTTTGTATGATTTTATTTTATCCTCTGAAATAATAAAATAAAAATAATGTTAATCAAATTTTTTGTAATAATCGTTTATGTCGAAAGAAAAGAATAATATTAATTTTACCCATCGCTTGAGTAAGATATGCATTTAGGTAATCAATGCTTGTCAAAGCTTGCACTTGTTGAAAAGTGCAAGGTGCATTTTTTTCGTGAAACACTGCCGATGGATACCAGCCTTTAATTCCACGACAAAATACTACTCCGCTCCAATCGTTTGACGTGTTATTTGTCTGAAAAATATATGCATTCCTTGTGTGAATAAAAAAATTGACAAAGGTTTATACGTGTATTGATTAATTATAAAAGTTAACTGATTAAGTTAGAAAGCTGAAATAATATTTTTCTTTTCTACTTTTTTATATAATGTAAATAATTTTTATTAATAATAAACTTTAAAATCAATTAGTCCACTGTAGTCATAATTATCGGCACATATATTTTATATATGTGTTTTTTTTTGTTATTTCATTTATAAAACTTACCTTACAAGAATTATTCGGAGCATTCACAAAACAACGATGACATTTTTGACAATTTTTTAATACCGGTCTTAAAATAATCGAATGTATTGTAAAATCATTATCTGTTCCTACAGCTATGCAATTATCTTTAGTACTTGGTGGATAAATTCTAAAAAAAAACACGATACGGTTTTTAATGTAATATTATTTGATATTGTATTATATATATTAATATTTTATAAATACCTTTTTTCAAGGAACAATGCTTGCACATGACGCGTCATATTGACTGGCGTCTTCAAATGAATCAAAGATGCACCAGTGTCATTTAAAACTTTGATATCATCTGCTATCGATATTTGTTGATAAGGTCCATCCGCGTAAATAAACGATGGGGAATAACCCAACATTGCTATCGTATAATTTTCTGATAATCTACAATATTATTGTTTATATCAAGTTTCAATTTTTGTACTCGTAAATAACATTAACTGTATAGATTTATCGAACAACATTTGTAATTAATGAATAAGAATAATTTCAATTACGATAACCAAAATAACGGGAAATGGATGAATGAAATTTGATATATGTAATCAAATCTATTTTCGACAGTTATTAATTCTATATTTATAAAAATTCTTTTGCTTAATTATTAAAGAAATACTTTGCAAAAAATGAATACTAATATAGATAAAATATCATCAATCTATTTTCGTATTAATATTGTATAATAAAAAATCGCGGAAAAATGTCTTGCCATTCTTCGCATATATATATATTTTAATTTGAGTTTTATAAATAAAATATTACAGTAATCATATCAAATATAAACATACCTGATATTCTTGGTACATGCTGAACTGGATAATAGCCAATTTGGTTCTAAAAGAATTGCTGAACATTGATAACGACCATCAACAAATATTGCAGCTAACCACGGCCAGGTAAAAGTACGATTTCCGGTTACTGGATCGAGAAGCAAGTGTACATTTATGCTACTACTTGGAACCGGTCTGCAACGAATGTTAAGACCTAGACAAGTTGGTAGGATTTCGCTAGGAGCGACGTACGTCGGCATAGACCGGTAATAAGATTTGTCGGTTCCGTTTATAACATTCGTATCAATATCAATGTTCAATATCGTAACTTCTTCGACTTTATCAACATCCCTATGAAAAATGAATTATTTAAAATGAATTTTCATATTAAAATGAACATCGTTATTTAACATTGTTTGTTTCCTCATTTGTATTATACTTACTTAAATCCAAAATAATCGCACATATTGTTAGCAATAAGTACAGACGATGATTGATTGCGAACTTTTATAGGAATATGACAAGTTGGATGCCATGTTCCATATTGAATCCTGGTGAGAACACCCTCGACGTTTAAAATTGGTCTCCCGTCATTGTCCAAATTCACCACTCCTCCATTACTCAATGTGACTAAAAAATTCGACATAAATCTTTAATTGAAGTTATTGTTTTTTTTTTTTTTAAATCGATACTTACAACAATCCAATTCGTCTTCTTTCAAAGGACAATCGAATTTCGTATCGCATTTCTTCGACATTGGTATGCAAGTTTTACTTTGACTACAAAGAAATTGATCATCCGAGCATATGTCTGAAAAATTATTATTATTTTATATTGAATAGAGAATGAATAAGAAGGAAAATCTAATAAAAAAAAAAAAAGAAAATAGAAAAGAATTTTACTGCAATTATTTTCGTCGGTTTTATCTTGACAATCAACGTATCCGTTGCAGATTGCTTCTGGTTGATATACAGATAAAATATCTTTACATGTACAATTTATTTCATCGGTTCCGTCCTCGCAATCGATAATTTTGTCACAGCGTTTACTTATATGTATGTTTTGAAGTAATCTGTAAATTATATTTCATATTTTTATCGAAATTTTGTATAAACATAGAATATTACGCCTGAAAATATGCAACACTTTGTACTTTGCTGGCAATGTAGCGACGACAAGTGCCATCTATCGGTAAGAAATTAACTTTACATTAGCTTGCGTATTTTAAAGGAAACATTGTTAAGAGACTTACGAAACCATGTATACAGTGTTACCTATTTACAGGCGAGATATTTATAAATATTATTATAACATTAAACAAGTGTGTGTGTGTGTGTGTGTGTATGGCAAATATTAAACAAATTTTTTAATTAAGTAATAAAATAATTGATAAAAAAATTCACCGAATAATTTTGTTGTCTCATAAAAATAATACAAAATATAAAAAAGTATTTTTATTATACAGCTTTATACAGGATGCTTTCTAATATGTTGGATCTACTTTAGGAGTGGACAGGGGATACAAAATAATGAAAAAAGTTCATATAAACATGTGTACTATTTGACCTGGTTTCAAAGTTATAGCCACTTTTGTGTTTCATTAATCCTTGACAGTTTATCATTTCATAGAAGATGATCGAAATGTTCACCCTTAATTTGTATCCAAGCTTGCAGTTATTGTGAACTTTTTTCATTATTTTTATGTTCCCCTCTGTGTCCACTTCTCGAATGGATTCCACATACTATGAAACGTTTTTCATATATATATATATTATGCATACTTACAGTTGGCACGTAAATACAAAAGAAGCAGAACTCTCTGTGGTAGCCGAGGTAGAAGTTTGTTCTGTAATATCAGTATATGAAGTTGTTATCAATGACGATAATACAATATTTTCCGTAGTTGATGCAGCTTCTGCAAACAATAAAATTCATAAAACAAATAAATATTACTCTTTCTATTTTTAGAATAATAATAATTATAATCTAGGATTAAGTGTGAAATCGTTGTATTGTTTATTAAAAGACAGTATAGATTTTTAACAAATTATTATGAAAAGAAAAAAGTTTTAACGTCTCTTATAAGATTATAATTTTTCATTAATTATAAATAGTTAAACAAGAGATATAATAAAGTAACTTTTACCTGTAGATGAACTTTCGATCGTAGTTTCATTAATCATCGATCCATCAGTAACAACATTATCATTCTCGTTGTTTATAATATACTTATCAGTTTCGTTAGCGGATGTTTTAAATAATTGCGAATCCAGCCAAAAATTACAATTTTCTTCATCTTCGCCATTCAAACAATGAATCTTTTGATCACACTGTTGATTACTTGGCAAACATTTTCCATCCTTACAACTAAAACCCGGACATTTGACTAAAGGTGTACCTCTAATACGATTCGTCATTCGCCCTTCTACACAATGAAATGAATTAAATTAATAACAATATATTCGTATAGAAGGATAGAACTTTATAACAAATTTACCAGAAATGTCTTTGATCCAATCGAGGAAGTAGAAAACTTTGGTATAAATGCCAGGTTTTCCTGGACGACCGCAACCTTCCCCATGACTAACTATACCAGCTACGTAATAAGACAAATCCACCGATGGATTCCTAAAATAAATTAGAAATTTGTAATAGAACATTTTTTTTTAATTTTCTTTTTTTTTACATATTCTTCATGGAATATAATTAATCGACTATTGATGAATATAATATTTCATCATACATGCATAATAAAGGACCACCACTGTCCCCTTGACAAGCATCTCGACCACCCGTTGGATACCCAGCACAAATCTCACTTATATTATCATATATCGTATTAGAACAGTTCGTCAAAATTGGTACTCTAACTTCTCTCAATTGATCAGCTTCATGCAAAATAAAATTGATTAATAATTTTGTCAAATTTATCTAACATAGTAAAATAAAGTAATTCGAATGGTTTGAAAAAGTCTTACTATCAGGACCCTGTTCTATCAAAGCACCCCAACCCAATACCACACACATAGTATCAACTGATGGTGCTTGGTTCCAAATTGAACCTGATATTTTTTCTTCCGGAAGACAAGCGGGTCGTACCCATCGATTAAAACGTAATGGAGTATCTAACATTACCAATCCAACATCATTTTTCATTAGATTAGGATCATAATTCGGATGTATAACAATATTCTTAGCGATTCTATTTTGCGTCATTGGTGAAAATGACAAACGTCGTAATATGCCAGCCTGTATTTCGTAATAATGTTTAGCCCTATGGAGGGAAAAAAAATATTACATAAAATTAACATCATTAAATTATTCGAAAGATTTTCTCAATACAAAGAAAAAATAATTATGATATATTTTCAAATCTTACTGAACGAGACAATGAGCAGCAGTTAATATCCAATATTCGTTTAAGATAACACCACCACAATGAAAATTGCCGTCTTTGTACATGGCAATCAAATAAGGCCAAGCTTCTGGTGCACTGGTACGACCACCAATAATACCTAAAATCGTATTTTCTTCCATTGATTCTGTCCTATTCGTTGATAATTTATTTTGTTCGATATCAACGTTGTTTTTCGTTCTATATTGTCCAGAAAGATAGGATTGATTATCTTGTGTTGCATCGCAAGAATAAGGTGGACATTTAACGTATATTGTGCTCGTAGCAGAATTAATTATTTTAACTTTGTTATTTATCATTATCCAAAAGGTTCCTGGATACTCATTATAATTAACATTCCTGATTTCAAGTTCCGGTTTATCACTGTAATCAATAAATAAAATATAAATATGTATAATACGTGTATGTATGTATGGTTATTTAATTAATGAAAAATAATTTTAAATTTGTAAAATATATGTCTAAGAACGTACATGTTTTTCAACTTTAATTCATTCTTACAAGCTTCTTCAGCTAATGACATTTCTTCCGATACAACGGGATACCATGTGCCTTTGTAATTTTTATGTAAATAGCCTTCGGTATAGCTTACTAAGGTAATCTGAAATAATAATTAATTAATAATTGCAACATTTAGATATAATTGCAAATAAAAAAATTCTATATGAGAAAATTACGGGTTTTTCAAAAAAACTAAAATATTTCATATATCTGGGATTCTGAAAATTTATTCATATTTTTTTTCGAAAACTACATTTAAAAACAAAAATTTTGAAAAAAAAAAAGTTCCCAAACGGTCAATTTTTGAAAAAGTTCTGGCAATTT